CTATTAAAAATATATACAAGTAAGAAGAAATGTTTTGTAAGGCACTTGCAAGATTAAAAATTGTTCCCTCTCCACTTCTAAGAAAATCAAAATATGAGAAATAAAAACTTAGAGAGACTCTACAGGGAAACATTTATTAACATGTTTGCATCTATTTATAATATATACATTCAGAGTGATTATATTTTTGGCAAGAAATGCCTTCTTAAAGACCCTCAAAATTAAAATGTGCGTAATCGAGGCTAATTTTGAAAAAGATGATAGGAATTTTTATGAGAAATTTAAATTGATTCTGTCAGTCAGCTCTGAAATAAATATATCTTTACTATTTTTTTTAAATATGGGAGTTTGCATAATTCCATTATGTATGCAAAACACAAGACTTTTTTATATGAGTTTATGGGCCAGAAATCATTTTGCTCTTAGAATTAATTTGATTTCGGCAAATACTCTGATTTTCTAACATCCTTCTTTAAGCCCTGTTACCTGGAAACCTGAAAAAAATAAACAACTTTTTGGCTTGAGAGGGATGTCTGGGCAATTAGAATAGCTACACGGAAGTCTGCACGTGTGTGTGTGTGTGTGTGTGTGTGTGTGTGTGTGTTTAGAGAGAGAGAGAGAGATTATTGCTTAAACAATGCCCCTGGGTTGGTTGCTTGGCTTGGTGCCATTTGGGATTCTCAGATTTTATTGTCCCAGCTCTTATTCACAGAGTTCAGAATCTCGAAAGGCAAAGCGTCTGGAGTTTAGGGTCTTTCCACGACAGCCCCTCCTCTTCCCTATACACTCCTTTTGCTTGTGGTCACCTTGTGGTGACCTTGCAGGACTCAGCGTTTTTACCTGAGCTCAGTAGCTAGGGAGCCCACTAGTGCTGGGGAGCAAGCCGTGGTTTCCATTCCTGGGTGATGGAGTCATGGGAGAAACTGCAGTGAGCAAGCACAGTAGGACCTGAGTTGGGCTCGAATGTGCTTTAAGCGGCTCAGGACAGAGCAGCTGCTCTGTCTCCCAGCTTGCAAGTGCAGCCTGCATTTGTCACTGACCACTGAAGTGTATGTTTGTGCAAGGTGAGAGCTGGGTGCTTTGTTCTTAACTTGGAGACAAATTGCCAGGTATTGTTGTTGATTGTGTTTAATAATTTGGGGATATTTATATCACCACCAATTCAGGACCTAGACTGTGTGCGGTTTTATTTATACCCTTGTTTTCTGTCATGATCCATTCAGCTCTCCACCGTGTCTACATTGTGGCAACAGACTGGATATAGTGCTGTTCTTCCACGCTGAAATGTGATCATTATAGTGCAGTGTTTCTTGGATTCTTTCTTTAATCGCTGCTGCCACATGATGTATCTGTTCATATACAGAATTCCAGTGCTAATTTGAAGGCATATAAAAACTGCTTCCGATAAAAATCTAAATTGCTATATTTGTTTAGTGCTTGCTGTGGTGTATTCTTTGCTTTACCCACATTTTAGTGGTTGAAACTTTGAGAGAGTAGAGTGCCTTAGGATTTGATCTGATGACAAAAGCAGTGGGAGTTTTCTGTGTAATTGCTTGTCAAAATGAAAACTTCTACTTGGCCATTTGTGTGTGTCTGCGTATGTTATTATTTTTTTTTTTTTTAAAAAAAGAGCCAAAAGAAAACCAAATAATACGTGCTATCTTTTGATGTACTTACAATTAACTTAATCAACCTATACAGCTTTTGTTATCAGCATATTTGAATTTTGTAACCTTACAGGACAATACAACTGCTATGTGAGCTTGTAAAAGTACATGGGAACACAGAGTATTACTCACTATGAGTCTGTTACAATAGGAATTAAAATCATGCTCTTGGGTTAACAGACCTTAATGGTGGGTCAGTTTTGTATGTTGGCTACTTAAGTGAACCCATAAACTATATAAAGGAGATACTTTTTAAATATCTAAATAAATATACAGGAGGTTTATATTCCTGAGACTCATATTTGAGAAAAGGGGGAAGTATAGGAATTTGGTACTGCATAAGTAGAAGAAGAAAAAGAATATCAGATTTTAAAATGAAAAAGAAGACAATACATTAAAATGAGGAATAATTATGAGGGAATACCAAAAAATTACTCTAACTGCTCAAATTTTTATGTCTAATGAAAGAACAATAGCATACTTAAAAAATTTAGAGTCAGCAGAAATGAAGCCAAGAACAAGAATTCTTAATAAAACATGTCAACCTGTGGAATGTACTTGTCGGTTTTAATTAATTTGAATTCTGTTGCTGAGATTAATAAAATGAGAAGGAAAAAAGGAAATTTAAAATTTTTATTTAAAATTTATCTCTATTTTGATAGACTTTAAAAACTAATGAAGTAAAATAAATTTTATTAAAAGGCAATGAACATTAAAATTATTCAAAACAATTAACAAAGAACATATAATATCAAAATTATCTGTCCCACTTTTAAAGTATGTCAGTTTTGAAAGAAGATTCTAATACTGTAAACTAGATCGTCACCTGTTCCTACATGCATGTGGAATGCCAAGTTCCTGAGACACTCTCTTCATGGTTTCTTGCTTTCAGACTCTAGATAAGAGCACTGTGGTATGCTGAGCAGAAACACCTGACTTTAACACTGTAATGCTTTCTATGCGAGTTAAGAAAAAGTTTCATTTCACAGATGTGGAACTTGAGGTGTACAAAGAATTGATGATTGGCATTTCTATATGGGAACCTGTACTATGTTGGCTTTTCATGATCTAAAATTTGGCTGCTTCTTGAAAAGAGTTTAACATGACTATCACCATGACTGAAAAGATGTACAGGAAGGCCTCATATAACTGTTTTATCAACACAAGAGTATTCATCCCTCTATGAGGACTACAGTCTTGTATGTTCAAATGTGGCATCCATGTGAACCCATGGTCAGCTTCTATGTTGAAATGGTAGAAAATTAGTCACCTATTTGATGAATAATAATCAGTGTATACAACCAAGAAAAGCCTTTAATAGTGTCTGTGTTTATTCTTTAGATAACTAGCTTACCTCAATATGCAAAGAGGTTTAAAAAGGTTTAGAGATTATAGGTATTGACCTCAGAGCACATGCCAGTCTGTTCAAACACATTTACTTCTATGCAATTAAGTTCTCCTAGATAAGAGGAAAGATTACCCTTTATTTATATATTTGATAAATATCTCTAATTTTCTAAAATGTTTAAACTCCCTAACACATTGTGTCCTTGCTTTCTTCCTTCTTTCGGCTTTACAGTTTTATTCTAGACTTTAAACTCACTAAGTTCTTCATTTGGTGAACCTTCTTTCTTTTGACCTACACTAAATTTCTGCACCTTGGACAAGGAAGCAGTTTTGATGTATACCTTGGGACTAGGGAAAATCCTACCTCTCTTGAAATTAAGAGGTTACTGCCCAGTGTCTGAGCAGAAAATGGGAGGGTGAGTGGGAAAGAAGGAGATTAGTGGCTACCAGGCAGCAAGAACCACTGTGTCCATTGTGCCTAGCATTTCTGCTATTCATACTTTTTTAATCCATCTAGTCTGTTGCTAGGCTTGGGAACCTATGTCAACAATGTTTATACATGCCGACATAGTTACACTTCTACAAAGGCCTTTGGTAAACTGACACTAAATATGACTTTTAGCATATGGGAGTTGCTTACAGCATTATCTGTCATTTGTATGTCTCTTTACCTTAGCCACTAAGTTCTGTTTTGCCTACTAACTCTTCCCAAAGCAGTATACATTCAGATAATATAATGGGCACTCACACAACTTTTAGCTGCTATTACTTCTAGATTCCTTAAATTAGGCCTTGGTTGTTTGGAGAGAAGAAACCTGGAGAGCAGGGTATGTGATGTGATGATTCCTCTGGTAGATTAGTCCTCTGAGACCACAGTGTTCTGACAGTCACTGGGCTCCTCAGTGGACCGCTGGCTGTAAGGACTTGGCAGCTGGAGTAGGAGCAGATGGCAGCAGGTGATTCTCCATTGGAAACCAGGAATATAAACATTTTCTGCAAGTCTACTCAAGAGCCCTGCCTCATTTATTTTGAATGCAGTGTGTCTTCCAAGGAAATAGAATGAATACAGCCTGGTTGCTGGAATAGGACTGTCTGTCATTCTTGGCCCCTGCCACAGGAGGTACCCGCTAAAGTCATTATCTTGATACATATATAATTCCTGCTATTTAAACATTTAAGTTATTTCTATTATACTAGGGAAGGCCTCAAATCAGATTCTAATGTCTACCTATGTTCCCCTCAATAGCCACCTATCACCATAAATAATAAATAATTTTTTAAAACACTGATGACCAATACAATGTAAACTCTTTACACATGAAGAGCCCCAAAATTCTTATCAATATGTAATTCGAATAATCTGTAAGACAAAGTGATTACAACTTCTAAATATTTCTAATGGGCAAGGAACCATCAGTAGAAAGTTATTGTAAAGTTTCCTATTTATAGGCATATTTGCCCTTAAGGGAATTTTCAAGAACGCTACTCCAATATACTAAAATCAATAAAAAGAGGAGACTTTTACATTTTAATATTTTCAAAGATCAGCATGCTTTAAATATTTTTATGATAAAGTATAAAACCAACCGGAGTGTGTTCCTTGTCCAACTCTTATTCTTGTACAATGGGCTTTCATTTGACTGACAACTTATCAGAACACACCAATGTGTTCAGAGGGATTATTTTGTGGCCATAAAGAAATGTCTCCACCTGATGCAGTGGCTCACACCTGTAACCCCAGCACTTTGGGAGGCCAGGGTGGGAGGATCACTTGAGCCCAGGAGTTCAAGACCAGGCTAGCCAACATAGCAAAACTCAGTCTCTACTAAAAATACAAAAATTAGCAGGACATGGTGGCATGTGCCTGTAGTCGTGGGTACTCGGGAGGCTGAGGTGTGATAATCACCTGAGTCCGGGAAGTCAAGGCTACAGTGAGCTGACATCACACCACTGCAGTCCAGCTTGGGCAACAGAGTGAGACTCTATCTAAAAATAAGAAATAAATAAATAAACGGTCTCCTTTTCCTGCTAAGTCTGTGTAAGAACTGTATTTTTAAACATAGGTTTTATTATTATTCAGGAATGGTGAGGCCCACAGATTAGGAGGTGATTGTTATTGAAAAGATAGTTTGTCACTCTCAAGCTCCCAAGAAGAGAGGGGCAGACCACATGCAGGGGCCATACAAGGAAGCACCAGGGTCAGTCAGGGGCAGAGGGAGCCAAAGGAAAACAGGAGTGACAGCCTTTTGTGTTTTCCATGGGCAGGAACAAATAAGGCACGGTGAGTAGGCTCGGGATTGGCTAGTTTGTATAATTTGGGTGGCCTCAGCGGTGTAGGGGTTGTCTCTAGTTGTCTAATAACTGACCCTGGAGTGATTCGAGTAGAAGGATAGTGGCCCAGAGCATAGGAGCCTGATCGAGGAGGTGGTTGAGGTATGGGCTCTGGATTCGTTGGTTTGCATGTGAAAACGTACTGCCAGGTTTGTCTTTTACTATTACTAGGCATTGGGTAGCCCTGGAAGGGGCAGTCTCTTCAGGCCCACAAGGCCTCAGATAACAAATCATCAGAAATACAAAAATAAAAAGGCACAATTAATGCAGATTAACACACCAAACAGGTATAGACTTAGTATCATTTTGCCCTGTGCCGTGTTCAATGGGTTAGTCCATTGTGGACAACCCTCTCTTAACACCAAATGTACCCCACTAACTTAGGCAGAACTTTAAAATGGTGGGGGAGGGATGAATGAGTCAATAAGAAGTAGATACAGCCATTTAGAAAAAAAAGTGCCACCAAAATAAATTCTAAAATGGTAGAAGGTTTAGGTGTAAAGTATGAAATTATCAGCATACTAGAAGGCTTTGGTGTGCTTACACGCACAGGAGAGATGCTATCACTACCATGCCACTGAGTTGTCCTGGGCAGGGGTGGATACAGTGTCCTGCTGCTTGAGGGGTACCTGGGCATGGCAGCAGTCGTGGCACTTACCATAGCAGAATAGAGATGTCCCAGGCGGGCCTTTCTCGTACCATCTACCCCAGTGTTCTCTATGTGTTTCAGGCTCCCAGGCCTCAGAGAGGAAGGAAAGCAAAGAAGGTATAAATGTAAATCACTCATTTATTTTATAATTCCAAATTGATGCCTGTGTTTTATGTGGGGGCCAGACGAGTGTTAGGAAAATATTGTAGACTGATTTCTTGTTCTTAACTGTCCTGATTCCTAAATCTGACACTTGATCAGACTTCAAAGTGCCATCGCTCTCTCTGGTATCTGCAGATTCCTGATCTGTGACTTCCATTGGTGTGACAGTGGAATGACACACTGTCAGCTCTGTGCTGGCCCTTTGAAGTTGCTATCGGAATAGACTGAACTGATTCAAAAAACTATCTATCAAGAGGTATGTGCTTGGTGGGGAGGAGACAACTTCAGTTGGAAAGGTTTTTCTTTAGGTCTATAGATTCTTTTTTCTATTTTACTTCCTGTTCCTCTAGTTAATTTATTTATCCTGCAATTCCTCCCCTCCCATGACCTCCTGTACTGTTTCACACCATCCTCTGACCTGTGTCAGGGGAGGGGGGCGACACTTGTGTCATTCACGCTAAGTTTCTCAGACTGGCAGGCTGTTTAGAGCAATGTGCAGTGTTCTAGCAACAGATTAAGGCAAATCCACAGAACTTCAAAAGCCTGAAGGCATTGAAAAAGTGCAGAGGACTACCCAGTTATATTTGGAATTTCTGCCTTTTGGATCTGTATTAGCTAAGAAACCCAGAAAAGTTTTTCAACTGTTAAAATGTAGTATTAATAGAAACTTGGAAAGTACAATCGGTTTTCTAAACCAGTCATGTGCAATTTAGTCAAGGTGCTGAGAATGAAGGCCAAATATGTCTTTCAAGTAAGGTATTTATAAGCTCACTAGAAGCCACACAAAAGTGATTTTAACTGTCAGAAATATCTTACATTAGTTAAAAATGCAGGCACTGGGATCAGTTAGATCTGCTTTGAAATCCATGAGCAAGTTGGGAAGGTTATTTAACTTTTGTAACCCTCAGTTCTCACATATATAATATTAGCATAAATCACATATTATGAAGTTTAACTGAGAAAATATGTATGGATGGTTTTGTCTACGGTAGAAGAAATAATCAAAAAGCTACTCTGTGAATGGAGATATTTTAGCAAATAGGACTATCATGATTTGGTGGAGGAGTGAATTTTTTTTCTAGATCAAGAGGTAGAAAAAGTTAGGGGAAACTTATCGGAGAGAATAAAAAGAACTAATGGGAGATACAACAGGATAAATTTGATCATCAAAGAATGAAGATCTCATTATCATTGTGACCTTCTTCCATGGGACGTAACACAATCTCTTCCTCATAGCAGGTCCTTTTTTATGTTAAATAAATGAATGGATAAAAGAAAGAAAGAGACACTAAGAGGAGTCATGAAGGAAAATAAGGAATTGCATAAAATAATATTTAAAAACACCTCCAAGACGTCCTAGCTCAAGTACACTGTGTTGGTCAGATATATCTATAATACTTCACCCATCTCGCCACTTGCCCCTGAAAGTGGGACAGAAAACGAATAAGAACAGTTCTATTGATTACCCCATGTATTTGTTATAACATCCCATAAGGAGGATAGAGTGAGAAGCCAGTGTTCTTTGGACACACCAAGGAATGACACACCTGTCAAAGCAGAGAAGATCTGTGATGTCCGCGTGGTTTCTGGTAGGAGTCAAAGGGCGAACAGAGAGCCCAAACTGAAAAGATCATTAATCTTAAAGAAATGCCAAGATGGGATGAGGGCCTCAATCTAGAGTTGCTTTTACTATTTGGGAAGGGACAAATATTTATAGTCCTTTGCTCTATAGAATGTCTTGTTTCCCCAAGCTTTGCCCATTAAATGCCAATAACTCCTCCATTTATGCGAAAATCCAAACACCCCTGCACTTTTCAAATACCTCCAAGGGAATGGTTCCCAAGCAAAAAATACTGAGAGTATAAAAAGGAGATTGAAGCATATTTAGAAGTGTAATGACTAAGTATCAAAATAGAAAAACTTCACTCCTTGGCTTTCATGGATCTCATAAGCATATATTTTACTCTTTTGAAGTGAAAGCAAATACCTTGTTGGTAGCTTGTCATTTTTCTACGAAGTGTGTTTGAATCATGTTTGCTGTGGGTCTGATTTGTAGAGACCCATCACTTAGCTATTGAATGAGATTAGCGTACCTCATTCTTGCCTACACCCTTTCAAATAAATTTATGTGGGTTTGTTTTTCTCTTCTTTTATTCATTGCAAACCTAATAACTCTCACAAGGTGATTTTTTTTAAAAAAGAAAGGTTTGTTTCATTGTAGAAAAATGGTTCTAAAAAGGAAAACAGTTTTTAGGACTGCTAATGAGGTGTGAAGGATGTGAAGCCATAGAGTGTGATAGTGATTTGTATTTGTTTTGGTTGTTGTTGTTGTTGTTTTGTTTTTTGAGACGGAGTCTTGCTCTGTTGCCCAGGCTGGAGTGCAGTAGCACGATCTCGGCGCACTGCAACCTCCGCCTCCCAGGTTCAAACGATTCTCCTGCCTCAGTCTCTCCAGCAGCTGGGATTACAGGTGCATGCCACCACACCCAGCTAATTTTTGTAGTGTTAGTAGAAACAGGGTTTCACCATGTTGGCCAGGCTGATCTGAAACTCCTGGTCTCAAGTGATCCGGCCGCCTTGGCTTCCCAAGTGCTGGGATTACAGGCATGAGTCACCACACCTGGCAGGTCCTGATCTGTAGATCAGAGCAGTTTTGGATAAATTATGGAATTCAGACTTGGCAGTGTTGGCAATCTATGACAGCATGTCATTATTGACACCTGAAATGACAGTAGGAGCAATGCAGGCTTTGGTCTTCAGAAACATGACCTCCATCTTTTGTTGTTACCTTATCTGTGTATGCGATGTTGTGTTCACAGTCCTCGGGTTGTGTTAAGTTTTGTGGTACACCACACATTTCTGTCTGTGTCAGAGAGTAGGAGAATGAAGTGTCAGGGAAATGTCCTTGATAACAGTACCTGCATTACTTTCCCAAAACTGCTGTAACAAAGTTTCACAAATGGGTGATTTAAACAACAAAAATTTCCTATCTTACAGTTCTGGAAGCCATAAGTCTAAGATCAAGGTATTAGCAAGCTGATGCTGCCTCTGAAGCAACTAGAGAAGGGTCTGTTCTTGGTCTCTCTCCTAGCTTCTGATAGACTCGGGCGTTTCTTAGCTTGTAGATGGCTGTCTTCCTACGTTTCTCAACATCCCCTTCCCTCTGTGCATATCTATCACTGCGTCCAAATTTCGCCTTTTTATGAGGGCACTAGTCATATTGGATTAGGGACTACCTTGTTGACCTGTAAAGACTCTATTTCCAAATATGACCACATTCTGAGATACTGGGAGTTAGGGCTTCAACATATCTTTCCTGAGGAACATAATTCAACCCCTAGCGTTGGCTCAGAAGAAATACTAGTAATGGAAGAACCCAAGAAGATTCAGAGTCCAGGACTGGCCTCAGTATTATATTGCCTCCCTGCTATTCGAAGTGTGGTCAGTGACTGGCAGCATCAGTATCCTGTCAGCACTGGTAGGAAATGCAGAGTCTCAAGCCTATCCTAGACCTCCCGCATCAGAGTCTTTATTTTAACCTAGATCCCCAGATGTTTTGTTTGTACATTAAAGTTTCAGAAGAGCTGTTCCAACTCAGAGAGTAGAAGCCCAATTCTCAAATGCCAAAAAGGGGGGAAAAAAAGGACTGTGTTGATGTGCAGGGACTCCCTAAATATGTGCACATAGCAAGTATGGGTCATCATTCTAGCCCAGCTGTGACATATTTATTCCTAAAGGTAATATTTATCTCTGAAAGTTTTAAGAGTTAAGTGTCGATGACTATTTATTCCCTTTCTATAGAGCATCCCTTAGGAGTGAACTCAGAAGATCATCATGCAGAGATAGCTCAAATTCTTTTTCCCTACACTTGCTTTGCTTCTGTAAGTTGTTTCTTTTCTGCCAACCTGCTCTATAATTTGAGTCAGCCTAGCTAGCTGGGTCATACAATCTAATTCTGAAATAAGGCCTATCAAGGAAAAACACTTTTCCCAGTAATGGGGAAAAGATACTTGAATTTCTAATATCATTATTTAAGTGATTGAAAATGTGAATTCTTGCTTCACTGACTTCTGCCTCTCCTGCCCCAAGGTCTTTGCACTTCCCTAAAAATGTAATTCAGGTGGAAGTTGTGGTTGTGGAGTCTATGTTACATGAAGACAAATGGAAAAAGAAAAAAACAAAGAAACAACAACAAAAAAAACAAGCAGCGGAATTAAACTTTGTCCTGGAGTCATCTTGGGCAAATGCTTATAATAGCAAGGGAACAAATGCAGCTTCCCTAGAGGACTCTGAGGTCGCAGTTCTCATGGGGGTGGTGACTTGAAATGACAAGTGGTTATTCACAGAAGTAAAATATGTTCAGGAGGAGCCTGCTCCCCTCAACTCCAGAGTGTCAGCAAGCACACCATATGGACTGTATTCCAATCCCAATAAAACTGCCGTGCTGCGGGTAATGTTGCAGGGAAATTTCCCTACGTAGGAATGAATCTTTGTAACTGAAAAATTAGAGAACTTTAACGTTTTTATCATCTTCTCTCGAGACCTATAGTTTAGGTTCCTAGGTAAGTATTATATTTCTGCTCTGCTGGCTTTATCTATATGCTAAGTAGTAAAACAAAACCAAACCTTGAAAATGTCCTCCCAGCATCATTTAACTGACTTGATCATCCTTTCTGCTAACAATCTTTATTGGCTTCAAATAATGTCTGGAAAAAATAGTGAACGTGTGTTATTACTAAGTGCAAGCCACTCTCCTAAGTGTCTACATTGCTTATACACTTAATTCTCACAACAATGCTACAAGCAACAGATGGGAAATTGTACGGATGAGGAAGTTGAGACACAGGTTAAATCGTGACATCGACTAGTGGCAGGGTCAGAATTCAAATCTGATTCCACAGCCTGTGAACGTGACTACTGTGGATACTTCCTCTCAAGAGAGACATGTAATCATTCTGAATATATCTTTAAAAGGCCAAAATAACTACTGCAAAATGTGCTTTTAAAATCTTTTTTATTGCATAGCCAATTATTATTACAGATTTGCGTCCCTCCCCACTTTTGTTGCTGAAACTGTATCCTTCCTTAAATGACACATTTTAGGGACATTTTCTTCAAGATATAAAGAAAATACAATTATTTTCACACCTTCCCTCCCCCACTAAGTCCATCCCTCCCTCCCCCAAGCTAACTTTGCCAAACACCTGCTCTGTTCTTCATTTGCATGCAGGGTCCACCTTGGAGCTTTTCTGCTCT